GGACTAGTATTTGACTAGTCAATTTTTAAGTGGTGTTGTACCTTGTGCTTTAAGAAGAGTTCCCTTGTTCCTTACACTTTCCAAGAGTTAGTAAGGGTATCCTTGTCTTTTCACCAAGAGTTAGTTTTGTAACCTAAACCTAGAAGACTTCTTCATTTTCATCCCTTGCAATTCCTAGAAAATATCTCTACCTTCTCTCTAGAAAAGAAGAGTAGCTTGTTCTTCAAGCCAAGTGAGACCTTTGTCAAGATTCCAAGTTTTGCTTCCAAGATTCAATCTTTCACCTATTTGGGCATCTAGAAGGGTAAGATCTAAGCTTGTCTAGTCTTTTTGGTTCCATCTTAGTTGTCTTTTTCTTAAAGGTGGAATCTTTATGATCTTTTGGTTTGATCTTGAAGTGGGTTTGGCTAGTGAGCTTAGTGGAGAGCCTGTTGTGGTGTAAGAGAAGTCTTTTGGTCTTCAAGAGGTAACCCATGCTCTACAAAACCTATTTTGCTTACCTATATATGATTTCTTGGCTTCTATTCGTGTTTTGCTATGAAATGTGAGAGTTTATGCATTTATCTTGTGATATTGCATATCTAGAGCTTGTGTTTAGGATTCCTTTGTGCCATTGCTTGGCATTTTCCATGGTTCAAGTCATTTTGTTGTGTTTGGTGAGATTTGGCATGTTTTGGACTTGAAGTTGTGTTTGGAGAAGAAAATCCCCGAAGGGATTTGTTGTGGTACAGGGACGTACCCGCGGCCGGAACGGCGGGCGGGGCACCACCCGCCGGCCTACCCGCGGGGAACGTGTTGCCTTGTGGGTGTTGTACCCGCGGGCGGGACCACGGGTGGGGCACTACCCGTGGGTCCACCCGCGGGGAACACAGTGGTGTGGTGATGGGATTTGTTCCCCGTGTTTTGTTTGTCTCGGTATTTGATCTTTTGGCTTCCCGTTGTTCTTTTGTGGAACTATTTGAGCGTCTTCTTGATGTTTCGTAGGTCTAGAACTATATGGTAGGTATCCATGTAGGATCTTTGGTGTCTTGATTCGTGCTAAGTGTTCAACTTTGTGTTTCGTTGAACCAAGAGGTGTCTTGTGAGTTCCTCAGAACTATCTTGAGTTTCCCCGTTGTTAAGCATGCTAGTTCGTTGTCTTAATGCTAGCGTGTGTGTTGTTCGTACCTTCCGTTTGGTAGATGATAACTTGTGTTATTCATCGTTGTTGTTGTTGGGTTGTGACCCGTCTCTTGATTGAGTGTGTTTCATACCTCTCTTGCAATCCGTTGATTGATTCGTGTGAGTGGTGGTGCGTGTGTAGCTCTACCTGGATTGCACGATTAGTGGTATGTGACACTAGTCACCAAGGTATTGCAGCGGTCCTCGTGGTGGCCGTGACGTGATTATGGAGCTGTGGCTGAGTCCAAGTGATTGGGGGATAACATTGTGTTATCCGGGCATGTGTTGCCGTGATTGGTGGGTTTTCGTTGGTGGTTATAGGTGGGGGACGACGGTCCGGGTGGAATAAGGTTGGACTTGGCTGTACAGGGGATTTCTGGAGGTAATGGTTGGCTTTGAAGGTACAAGGTTGGGGGTAGCCATAAGGTTGGAACAGGGCATAAGGAAGGCATACCAACTCGTGATGGGTGATGTCGCGAGGGCTTGTAAAGCCGGTGTTGTGTGATCTTCTCTCGTGACGGGTGTAGTCATGGAGCCTTGTGGTGTTTTGGCATGTGTTGTCGTTGGGTGAGTTTTTATCCTTGTGTGTGGTTAACCTTTGTGGTTTGGGATGCGCTCCCGGTGTTATCCTTGTGAGTGGTGAGTCTTGTGTTGTCTTTTGATCTTGGCTTTTGACTTATATGTATTCCGTTTTGAAAATGGTTTTTATATCTTATATCTACCTATTTATGATACTTAACGGTATTGGTGGGTTACCAGCATTATTCGCTGACCGGGCGTCGCCCCGATGTTTATCTTTGTATCTTTCAGGTGTTGAGTAGTCGAGCGCGATGTCTAGAGCCGGTAGCTTAGCACCTGTATCTTTAGACTGTGTTTTTGTGGCCTGCGTGTCAATGGTTTTAGATTGTTGTTTTTAGAGTGATGTTTTGGGATAGTGTGTTACACTTGCAGATTGTCGCCTTAGCGTTACCTAGTGTGGTATACGTGGCATAACACCCCTGTTTTGAATTTCTTTTATCCAGTTTCCGTTTTCTTCCGCTTTGCTAGTGTTTTGTTGTTAATCAGCATGTGTTAAGATTTGTTTTTAGGTCTTGTTTTTGGAGGGTGTTACATGCTCCTCCCTAATTGCCACTTCAAAATGGGCGCCGCCGCGATTCTCGTGTCCAACAAGAAGCGCGATTCGGGTCGGGCCAAGTACCGGCTCATGCACGTGGTCCGCACGCACAAGGGTGTCGACGACAAAGCCTACCGCTGCGTTTACGAGCAGGAAGATCCGCAAGGGAAAGTCGGAATCAACCTCTTAAAAGACTGCCGGCAAAACCCTCAAATCCAACATAACCACAATCGGCTCGCTCGTTCTCCCGGTGTTGGAACAGATCATCTTCCTCTTCACCCTAATCGGCCGAAAAATCTTCAATCCCATATAGAAACTCTACATTCACGACTTCAAGCAGGCCTTCGAACACTTCTGCATCAACGCCGGCGGCCACGCCATCATCGACGATCTCCAAAAGAACCGGCAGCTCTCGTCGGAGCACGTGAAAGTCTCCAGTCGAGGGACCATTTTGAGTATTTACTCTAAAAAAAACTTTATGTTATATTATATTGTAACAGATCAGTAGTACTAAAAAAAATAGAGTCATGTTATACTAACCAATCAACAATTAGTATTAGATGACAATCACTTTACTTCTTCTTTTTAAATTTTTTTTTCTTCATTTCTTAATTTACTCTAACTTTCCCTCATTAATAAATGACGTAACAAAGAGTTTCTAGTTTTTTCAATTAAATAATTTTATTGTATCCTTTTAGGTCTTGAGTATAGACTTATTCAAACGGTTTATAACAACAAAATTTTTGTAATAATTACGGAGTAATTTATTATTATTGTTTTAGACCATATATACAAAATGCAATTGTTATACGATGGACCACGAATCATATTGCATTGTGAATTCTGATATACAAATTTTGTACCTTCCGTTAACACATTTTATACTTAGGGCATCCTCAATAGTGGAGATTTTGGTGTGATCTTTTAGGTGCCAAGTAGGATAGATGAGGAGGAAAGAGATAAAGAAAAAAAATAAAATAAAATGGAAAAAAGGTTTTTAATACAAGAAAAAAAGACAACCAATGGTTATCTTTATCTTGCATTGGGACCACAAAAATCTCATTCTTTGCAAGAGGATCTTTAGCATTCTCTCACTTGCTTCTCTTTCATCCATGGTGGCAATTTTTTATTAAAATGTGAACAATCCCTCTAATGGATCTGTTTTGTAAAATAGTTAGATTATCAGCCAATTTTGCCTTATTTTACCACTATTAATTGTTTGACTTGGTTAAAAAATTAATATAAATGTTTGGTTAATTAGTTTTTTGTAATTCCAAAATACTAAAATTTAAAAAGTTGTTCAAAGCAACTTTTTCAATTAGCTTTTTGAAAAAAGAAATTATACCAAACAGCTATTAACTAATAGTTAATTTACCAAACACATTTCTACATTCAGCTAATGTTATCAACTAGTTATGCCCTTTAATTAACCCAATCAGCTAACAACCATTTACCTGATAGGGCTGATAACTACAGGTTCAGAAACTATTAACAACAGATACAGTATGTGTCAACTATAGATACAGAATCTGACTTGATAATTATTGACACATAATATGCTACATGTACAAAAAGAGTTAATACCATCTAGGGTCCTCCGAGTATAGTGGTTTTGCCACGTTTAGTCCTAAATTTTCAAATTACCACCTATGGTCCTTCGAGTTTCAAATTGTTATCATCCGTAATCCAAGTTAACCTCCTATGATCCTTCGACTTTTAAAATTTAACCAGTCGCGGTCCTCCTAGAAGGACCATGTATGGTTAAAATTTGATAGTTGAAGGACCTTGTGTGGTTAACTTGGACCACGAATGGTAAAAATTTGAAATTCGGAGGACCATAGGTGGTAATTTGAAAGTTTAGGACTAAACGTGGCAAAACCACTATACTTGAAGGACCCTAGATGTTATTAACTCTGTACAAAAATTATCAATTGCAAGTACAAAATGTGTCAACTATAAATACAAAATCTTAATGTTATTTTTAAACTAGGATCTACAATACAAGGTAGACCCTGGTCCATAGTATAATTTGCCTACAAAATGTTTCATTCTCGACGTATCTATAAATACAACCCAACCCAAGAAAGAGATACAGCATATTGACAGTTATACAATTAAGGCAAAGCACATACGAAAATGGAGAGAGTTGCTTGTTGTTTGCTTGTGGTGGTGGTGGTGATGGCGGCCGCCGCCGCCGCACAGAGCGCCACCAACGTGAGGGCAACGTATAATATTTACAACCCTCAAAATATAAATTGAGATTATAATACGACAAATGTTTATTGCGCCACTTGGGATGCCGACAAGCCACTTAAATGGCGGCAAAAGTAGGCAATTTATATCCTACACCACGGCGCGCGTTGCACTATGCGCCCAGATGCAAAACGACGTCGTTTTAATTTTATTTTTTTTTGAAATTTCCTGCCCCAGTGAATGACAGTAGTTTTTTCTTTAAAAAAAAATTCGTTGTTCAAGAATGTACATAATGTTATACTAGAATACACATAATTGTATACATGAATGTACATAATTATATAACAAAATATACATACTCTTTTTAAAAGATAATACACATAATCTAACATAATACATAATAAACATAAACTTTTAACATAATACACATCAACTATTAACATAATACACACAAATTTTCTGATTCGGATGTACATAATTGTATAAAAAGAGTGTACATAATTGTATAAAAAATGTACATAACTGTATGAACTAATACACATAAGTGTATGAACAAATACACATAACTGTGTGAACAAATACACATAATCCCAGCAACTTCCTACCGCGCCTCCCAAAACGACCCCAAAACGACGTCGTTTTGGGAGGCGCGCAGCGCACAGTGCTATGTGCGCCGTGGTGTACGATATAACGATTGGGAAAAAGTATGGATGGACTGCCTTTTGTGGTCCTGTTGGCCCAATAGGTCAAGATTCTTGTGGTCAATGTTTGAAGGTATGTTATTTACTGACGTGTAATAACAAGTCAATAGAATTTTGGCAATACTCCGAAGACTAATACCGACGATTGTCAAATGATTGCCGGTCACTTTTGGCCAACAGAAGAATGCATCCAGTAGGTTGTATTCTTCTGCTAGAGAAGGCGATATGTTGGTCGCCATCTTCAAAGGCGACTGGTAATAGTTCGCCAGTTGTTGGTCATTGGTGTTAATTTTCGGAGTGTGAGTTGGCCGAAGTGCTATTGAAACTCTAGTGACTTGTTATTACTTATTACAAGTTTGATTTTTTTTTTTTTTGTTTGAATGTATTAAAATAACATGTTGATAGGTTTAATTTTACTTTTTTAAGTTCATGGACATAATTAATTTTTTGAATAAAGCTTAAGGGTTTATATTAACTTTTTTCATATGTTTTGTAAAGTTATACTTTATATTTTGTTATTGTTAGAGAAGATATATAAAGGAGAATATTTTTTATTTATTTATTTTTTTGAAAGGAGCCTGTACGGCATTTATTCAAAATATGCAGAAATAGATGCTGGTAGATCATAGTCCGAGTACATACTAGTTGACTGAGTAATTGCAGTAGATGCTAGAGTATGAGCTAAATAATTATCTAGTCTAGGAACATAATGAAGTAAACAATAATCACTAGTCCTGCAACTATCAATGGCATAACCCAAGTACGATCTTGACGAGTGTGTCATAGATGATAAATATTGTTGAAGCACCAAACAATCCGTGAAGAGCTCGATAGACTTTATTTCGCGACTTCTTAGCCACGACAAAACTTCCTTGCACGCAAAGGCCTCCGCCATTAGGGGCGAAAAACAGTCTATCACAGGGGCAGTCATAGCCGAAACATAATGTCCTTGCCAATTTAGAATAATGGCTCCCAACGCTGCTTTGTTTGTCTGTGGGTCGTACGCCGCATCGAAGTAACATTGATCTCTCATGTTTTGCATGGCTTGGTGTACCATGTTCGGCGTTGGCAGCTGTGGTGTAGTCGGCACAGCAATAGTATTGGTTGTTGCCGAAGGGACCGCCGTAGCAGACCGGGATGGGCTACTTTCCAAGCATTCACAGCTGATGATGCCATTGCAATTATCTTTCGAGGTCTGGGCAAGGTCGCATCCCATACAGCCTCATTCCTTGCACGCCAAATATAATATAAAAGTGCCACTGCATAAATAATTCCATCATTATCTAAAATATTCATCAAATCATTAAACCAATCACTGAAAATATTTGTGACACTATTGGGAATTGGAAGGTGGGATTGTGCCCAAATGTTTGTCGAATAATCACATGTGATCAAAGAATGCACAATATCTTCATGCCCAATCCCACACATGGCACATGTTGGATCAATATCAACTCTCTTATAAGTAGGTTCTTTGTAGTGGGCAAAATATCATTTAGAGCTCTCCACAAAAATGTTTTCCACTTTGGGGGGGCTTTAAGCTTTCATAATATTTTCCATTTATCAAAGGTCCCAACCGCTTGGGTGTAGTTACCTACTATTGTTCTATAGCCACTTTTAACCGAATATTCTCCTTTTGGGTCCCCATACCAATACCACAAATCCTCATAATCTGGTGACACAGGTATTTTTAAAATTTGCTCTACATCCTCAGGGTCAAAAATATCAGTTAGAATATCCTGATCCCAGGTTCCTGTCTGTTGATCCATCAGTCCCATCACCTTTGCCTGTGCCAATTGGGGTGGTTTTTCTGTTAATATTTTCGGCTGACTCACATCTTGCAACCATGGATGGTCCCAAATCAAAGTTGATTTGCCATCCCCAATCCTGCGCCTAACCCCTCCACAAATCAAATCTTGTGCCGCCATAATACTTCGCCAACAAAAACTTGGGTTATTTCCCAAGCATGCTTCATAGAAAGAATTAGTGGGATAGTACCTGGCTTTATAAACTCTTGAAACCAATGATTGTGGCTGTGTCAGAAAGCGCCACGCTTGCATGCCCAACATTGCAAGGTTAAAGGCTCGCAACTCTTTGAATCCCAATCCTCCATATTCTTTTGGGATACACAGTTTATCCCAAGCTTTCCAATGAATACCCTGGTCATCTCTCGATCTCCACCAGCATTGATTCATGGTTCGCTCAATGGTAGTGCACAGAGTCGTAGGGAGTAGAAAAACGCTCATCGAAAAGGTAGGCATAGACTGAGCCACACTTTTCAATAAAACTTCTTTTCCTGCCTGTGACAAAAGTTTCTTATTCCACGAGTTAATCCTCTACCTTATCTTATCCTCAATATAAGAGAACGCCACTTTTCTATTCCTTCCCACAAATGATGGAAGCCCCAAATACTTTCCAAAATTCTGAGCCTGCACAACTCCCAATATATTGGCAATCTCCTCCCTTATTTCACCTCGTGTATTTTTACTATAACAAATATTCGATTTGTGATAGTTAACTGTCTGGCCAGACATCTTTTCATATTCTGAAAAACAACGTTTAACCACACCCGCCTCTTGAATATTTGCTTTGAAAAAAAGCAGACTATCATCAGCAAAGAATAAGTGGGTAATGGAGGGAGCTCCTCTAGCCACTCTACAGCCATGTATCTCTCCCTTTGCATGTGCCTGTTTTAATAATATTGAAAGCCCTTCAGCACAAATAATGAACAAATAAGGTGACAGGGGATCACCTTGCCTTAAACCATGAGTCGGGGTTATTTGATCAGTCCTTGAACCATTTACCAGTACACTGCAAGACACAGTGGTTACACACATCATCAATAACTCTATCCATCTTTCATCAAATCCCAGTGCCCTTAGCATCTTTTGCAAAAAAGACCATTCCATACGGTCGTAAGCCTTAGCCATATCCAGCTTTAAAGCCCCCCAACCTGTTAGTCCACATTGCTTCCTGTTCAAATAATGGCCAACTTCCGCAGCTATCAAGATATTATCTGTAATTAGCCTTCCAGATATAAATGCACTCTGGGACTCAGATATAATATTCTCCATTAGTGGTTTCATCCTGGCTGTAATCATCTTCGCCATAACTTTGTAAACGACAATACTCAAAACAATTGGCCTATAATCAGAAACCATTTCCGGGGTTTTCTTCTTGGGGATCAAAATAATGTTTGTTTCATTCAATTTATCAGGCATTGAGCAAGTATTCAGACAATTCATAATATAAGAAGAAACATCAGTACCCACTACATCCCAAAAGTGCTGGTAAAACCCAGGGTTCATACCATCCGGGCCTGGTGCTTTATCAGGATACATTGAAAACAATGCAGATTTAACCTCACTCTCTTCAAATGGGCGCAATAAACTCTCATTCTGTGTGCCTGTTACACGTGATTGTATACTCCCAAAGAAATCATCATTAACAGTAGGAGAACTCGAGCTAAAAATACCACGATAATAATCCAAGATTACATTCCTCATGGCATCCCCCTCAATCCAATCCCCATCATTATTCATAACTTTAGTAATAGCATTCTTTTTCTTTCGATGAGAAGCATACCTGTGGTAAAACCTGGTGTTTGCATCTGCATCCTTGAGCCAATGCTGTTTGGCCCTCTGTCTCCAGTACGTATCCTCCTGTAATTCAATACGAGCCAAACATTCATCTAGTCTCCGAAACTCGGCTAGGGATACCGGATCCATACACCCCCTGAGGCGCAACTGTTCCTTACGCAAGTTCAATATTTTCTCACCAAATTTATGGAATCGGTCTCCACCCAGCGTGTTAACCGATCACCACATAGAGTGACACACTCCTGCAACCCCCTACTTCTTCCTTCGCCCCAGGATTTTTCCACCACTTCCCTACACCCCTCATCATGTAGCCATGTCATCTCAAAACGAAAACCCCTTCTCAGAACACCCCTCCTTCCCCGAAGATTGAGAATCCCAAGGAAAAGGAAAGAATGATCTGATTTTCGGGTTAATATATTCTGCATATTTGCATCAGCCACCAACTCTCTCCAGGTTTGAGTAGCCAAAACCTTATCCAATCGTTCCTCTATCCAGTTTGGCGTGCCTTTTCCCTTCTCCCAAGTATAGGGATATCCAGCCATTGGTAATTGTGTCAAACCACACTCCTCAATAGTTTCTCCAAAGCCCCGTAGCAAGCTGTCTGGATGGGGATTTCCTCCTCGTTTCTCATACTGATATAAGAGATCATTAAAATCTCCAATGATTACCCATGGCAGATCCGATCTACTTGCCAATGACCGAATAAGGTCTCACGACTCCCTTCTCTGCGGACGCTTCGGGAAGCCATAGAAACCAGTCATCCTCCACTTATCAAAACCTGGCACACTCACCTCAACATCTATGTGATTATTAGAATAACCAATTATTCATGCAGTATCATTCGTTCTCCATAACAATGCCAGTCCTCCACTCAATCCAGTGTTATCCACATTAAAAAGGCCTTCGAAACCAAGCTTAATCCGAAGTCGCTCTGCATGATCTCGGTTAACCTTAGTTTCCATCAGAAATACAAAATCGGGTTTCTTGCGGGACACTATGTCCTCAATTTCCCGAACTGTCCGTGGATTACCCAAGCCACGGCAGTTCCAGCTCAATGTACTCATTGGGTCGGGCGGGTCTGCACCGCAGCACCCGCCATCTGCAAGTTTTTTTGAACATCCGTCATTGCTATATCCTTATAAAGGAGAATATAGTTTTACTAAATACAAAATATGCTTCAAAAGGTCCAGATCAAGTACATTCGTTGCACTTTAAGTTATTTCACGAGCGTAACTTATTTTTCGCT